TTTTGTTATTTTGATAAAGCTGCCTCCACTCCTAAGTGACACAAGTTCCCCCGTCCCCTCTCTGCCAGAGGCACCATCCTGCACCTGTGCGAGTCAACAGGCCCCTAAATCCTTCAGGCCCAGAAGCCCAGAAGCCCAGAAAAGGCTGTTTCCTGAGTACCTTCTGGATGTCTGTACATCATCTATTCCGTGAGGTTCCACTTTTCAGCTAGGGAAACTGAGGTCACCTCACCTTCAAAAGGAGGGCCCAGAGGCAGGCCACTGTGTGTACTATTGTGTTTTCCAGTCATATGCCCATAATCTTGGTAGCAGACAAGTGATGGTCAGCACCAAAAGTTGAAAAGATATGCACACAAGAGAAAACTTTCATCTGAGGTACCTAGCCTATTAAACTCAGCATTTTCTGGGATGTAGGGAAAGACCTCATTGTTGGTTCCCTAGGGTGGAATGTCTTGGTCTCACCTTGCAGGCTTCACAGGGGCATCTGTGACAGTCATGAGAACTATACTCTGGTTTATTCACTTCTCTTCCAACCATCCTGTTATTTGAACCTCACAAAAGTCCCATAGGGTGATAGTAACCCTGCTGCCTCAAATCTTCTGAGAAGTGGGGGTGCCTGGGTGGCTCAGTCAGTAAGCATCCAACTCTTGATTTTGGCTCAGGTCATGATATCAAGGTTGGCTCTGCACTCAATGGGGAGTCTGCATGACTTTTTTTTTCTCTCTTTCTCTCTCTCTCTCTCCCTCCCTCTGCCCCTCCACCCTACTCCTGTTCTCTCTCAAATAAAATAAATAAAATCTTAAAAATCAAAAAACCTTCTGAGAAGCAAAGGGCATATACATTCCAGATATATCTCAGGCCCAGGAGCAAACATCTTTAGTCAGAATGATTTCTGCCACATTCAAAACTTGTCAGTTTCCTGTCCCATCCCTTGAGGTCTTGCTTAGGAATAGGCATCTTGGGTATTCACATATTCTACTATGTGAGTAAATGCTAATGGCTTCATCCTGTCCCCCAGGGTGGCATATAAATATTTCTCAAGGCCTTCTCCAGTTGTCTTTAAGACATCAATCACAGGATCATCACCATCATCACCATCATCATCATAATCATCCAGATACTACCACTAAGCACTGTAAACCAGTATATGGCAAGACCTTTCTTAGATCACCTCAAACATTTCTCTCAGTAACTTAATGGGGAAAGAAGTGGAAAAGTTTATTCCCACTTTACAGATGAGGCTCAAGTGATAAAGCGAGTTGCTCAAAGCCATTCCGTTTATTCATGGCTGAGTTGGGATTTGAACCCATACTCTCTTGGATCCCAAGCCCAAGTTCATGATCCTCTGTTGTGTTGCCATAGAACAAGGTACTGAGGGGCTCCTGGGTGGCCCAGTCAGTTGAGCATCCGACTCTTGGTTCTGGTTCAGGTCATATTCTCAAGGTCCTGGGATTGAACCCAGTGTTGGGCTCCACACTCAGTGGGGAGACTGCTTAGGCTTTCTCTCCCTCTTCCTCTGCCCCTCCTCTTGTTCTCTTTCTCTCTCTCTCAAAATGAATAAAATAAATCTTTATTTATTTTTATTTTTTTAAAGATTTTATTTATTCATTCATAGACACACACACACACAGAGAGAAAGGCAGAGACACGGGCAGAGGGAGAAGCAGGCTCCATGCAGGGAGCCCAATGTGGGACTCATCCAGGGTCTCCAGGATCACACCCCGGGGCTGCAGGTGGTGCTAAACCACTGCACCACTAGGGCTGCCCTAAAATAAATCTTTATTTTTTATTTTTGTTTTTTTAAATAAATCTTTAAAAGAAGAAGAAGTGGGGGAGTTGGAGGAGGAGGAGGGGAGGAGGAGGAGGAGGAGGAGGAAAGAAGAAAGAAAATGGTATTGAGGGGCTAGGCTGGACCATCTTCATCCTCCAAGGAGATGTGACCTGCCCAGTGTTCCAGCCAAGTAAGGAAAGACAAGGCATAATGATCCTCACGTGCGCCACCGGTGACTGTCAGCCAGGTCTTGTCACCGACATCAGTTCATTTATCCCCCAACAGACACATGAGGCTGAAACTGTCATCTCCCTCTTGCCGGTGAGGAAACTGAGGCTCAGAAGAGGGATGTGACTTGCCTGAGATCCCCCACCTTGTGCCCAGTCTTCTGCCCCCAGGCCCCAAGCTCCCCTCGGTGGCCCTGCAGCTCCAGGCCCAGGTGGGTGGGGTGGCCAAGCACGCACGCACGGAAGCAGGTCTGTGGCGCCAAGGACGCGCCTGCCTGTCGCGCACAATGGGGGAAATTCCGAAAGTTCCTTGGGACGGCTCAGGTGTGGCCCGCCGACCATCCTCCTGACGCACTCTCTTCCTCTTCCTCCTCCTGCCACCCCAACAACAACCAGAAGCGGGGTCCCCTCCCTTCCTGAAAGCCCTGCTCCCCTTGGCCGCGCAGCCACGGGGCTTTCTTCCACAAACAGCCGCCTCCATCCATCTCTGTCTGGGGGCCGCGGGGCCGGGAGGGGGAAATGCTGACTTTGAGGAGGTTAAAGGTGCCGGTGCCGGGCCTTCATCTAACAAATGGGCTGCCGCGAGGGGAGGGACTGTTGTGTTTTCCTGGCCTCCGAAGAGGGGCCTGTCAGGAAGATGTAGAGGCCAGCGGCCCCCGGCCGCGCCCCGCAGGGCGGCTGACAGACGCGGGCAGCTGCGCGGCGCCGGGGTGCAGGGGGGTGCAGGGGGGTGCAGGGGGTGCCGGCCCGAGGAGCGCACCGCACCCCCGCCGCGCCTCCCGCTGCCCCCCTGACCCCTCGGCCCGCCCCTTCCAGGGGCCAGGGACCGCGGCTGGGCCTCCCCGAGCTGGGCCTCCCCAGGGCCAGCTGCGGAGGCAGGAGCAGGAGTCCAGTTACAGCCTCCGCGGCCAGGCACCCGGGAAGGTTTGCCTGGGGAAGCTGACAGGCCAGGGCTTCCTCCCAGCCTCCTGTGGATCCTTCTAGAGCCCCCACAGCCTGGAGCCCCTCTAGGGACCGCACAAGGAAGGCTGTGCTGTAGAATTGCCTCAGCGCTCCTCCGTCCGTAGGCTTCTTTTTGGAATCCTCCAGTTAGGGAGACTGAGATAGGCAAGGAGGGGAGGTGTTTATCTATTACCTACTCAGAGCTCCACTTCCCAGAAATGACTCACTGAGATTCTCAGATGTTTGTGGGGTGAGTGTTCTGATGCAGCAGGGCCGGGCTGCCCGGGGTTTGAAGCCTGGGACCTCCACCTCCCGGCTGTGTGTCCCCAGGTAGGTCACACAGCCTGTCTGTGCTTCTGAGTCCTCTTCTGAAACGTGGGGCTGATGAGAAAAGCACCTGCCTCACAGTGCTTTTGTGGGGATCCCTCGGGAGGATATGTGTGAGGTGCTGAGGTCACTGGGTGAAGGTCAGCAAGGACGATCGTCGCAGAGGAGGCAACAGAAGCTCGAAGAGATGCCGTGACTTGTCTCAGGACATGCAGCTGGGAAGTGGCGGGCCGAGGATCTGAACTCGCACCTGTCGAACCCCACAATCCGTGCTCCTTCCTCTGTGTCAAGCTGCCATAGACGGGATGCCCGAGGGCAACTCCTGGTTCTGCCCTTTCGGAGCTGTGTCATTCTGAGCTAAGCCTCATTTTTCGTTTGTGAAACATAGAACGCAATTCTTAATTTACCCATAATAGGAAAGTCATTTCGGAGGAGAAATGTGTGTGCAATAGCTAAGTCCCAGGCAAAGCAGAGAGATGAGTCTGGTTGGTGGCAGTGATCCCACCTCCTCTCCTGGCCTACGATACCCTGCCCATTCCAGAAACTCTTTGCCAATTCCATGAAGTGTGTGCGGCCTCCAGGCTGCCGGGCAGAGGCCCATGGGCCCTCCTGGCGTCTTTGGAACCAGCCAGCACACGGTTATGTCCATGCGCATGTCGGCTCTGATCCTGCTGCTGTGGGCCGTGGAAATATTCAGTGGGAGGGGACCTCTGGCCCGTGTGCTTGGAATGTCATCCTCCCAGAAATTATATTAACCCTCCTGAGAGACCAGCAGGGCACGGGGATCAAGTAGATGGACGGATTGACCGATTGAAATGGCAGTTGGCCCTCTTGTGACAGGCACCGGCCAGGAAGGCCACACGATAGTTTGCCAAAGAGAACTCCTCCAGGAATGAGAATCTCTGATTCCTGTTTCCATGCCCCAGATTCCACAGAAGCCATGGCCTCTGGGGTTGGGGTAGGGGAAGCAGGTGTGGGTAAAAGTTAGAGGGCCTAGGGAAACTTCAAGAGCTTTCTCTAAGAGCCTTCCCTTTGCCGTGGAGAAAAATGACCTGAAAGCCCCCTAGAGAAGAGTGTGGCTAATTGGCATGTAAGTCGGGGTTAAAGAACGGAAGGAAGAATCTGATTGTTTTTTTAAGTTACTGAGAAAGTGAGAATGTCACTTTGGGCAGAGAGAAATAATTTTTTTCTGGAGTGTGTCTTTCTTTATGCTGCAGACCCTAGTGGGCCGCTGAGACTTGCAAAAAAAGATTTCTTTTAATCCACCTTCCTTTTTGCAAGCAGCAGTAGAAGGGCCTTTAAATCAAATGCAATCAGCAAACTTGTCTCTTGCACTTATTCCCCGCTTCACTCCCTGGAATTTGGCACTTGATGGATTCTGGATCTGACTTAAGGCTTTTTCCAAATCCAAGACTTGGGGAATTTTGTTAACAGTGCAATAAAATAACTTCATAGTGTACAGGAGGCCCATTAAAGAAGTGGTGTGCATGTGTGTGTGCTGCAGTCTCTCTCTCTCCTTAAAATTAAAAAAAGAAATACAGACAATGTTTCTTTAAAAGTCTCCATCTGCAAATCCCATTAGATGTGCATATAAGGTTTCTGATGATTAATAGTTGCCTGCTCGGGTTTTGGTTGGAGGGGATCGTGTGTGTGCTGGTTAACCCCTCCCTCTCCTCTCTCACGTTTCACTTCAGAAATTTGTCACTCTCTCCCCACCACAGGATTTAAAAGTGTGTCTCACAGCCCCAGTCCAGCCCTCTGCAGGCATTTGCTGCGGGCTCCAGGGCAAGCACTCATCAGCTGGTGCATCTGGGCTACGACAGTGAAAATGTTTAGTGTCATCGGAGACAACTACATGTACAGGGGACCCCAATAGGCAGGCTGGTGTGTCGGGGGGGCAGGAAGCCAGGAGTGAAGTCTGACATAGGTGTGCGCACACACATACGTGTAGCTGGCCACATGTGTGCATACTCCAAGGAGAGACTTTAGTTTTGGTTTTTGTTTTGGTTCCTGGGGTGAATTTTCTACTGAACATCTTCCCCTCTTATTTATTTATCTTTTTTTTTTTTGCATTTTTAAAATTTTGAATATAAAAAGTGTAAGAATCAAAACTTTGAAAAGACGGAGGCTCAGCGGCAGACGGCAGATGGATCCTGTGGCCAGCAGCTGCATGAGGAGCCCCCACCCCCCAGCCCCAGGCTGGGGCTGCCTTCGAAACCCCCACTCTGAAGGCAGTGGGGCCTCAGGGCTGCCCCATTACCCGCCAACACCGTTCTCCTTCCACCAGAAACCAGACTTCCCGGCGACAGCGACAGCAGCATACCCCGACTTCTCGGCCTCCTGCCTGGCAGCCACCCCACACAGCCTTCCCCGGGAGGAGCGCATCTTCACTGAGCAGCACCCCGCTTTCCCACAGCCCCCCGACTGGAACTTCCCTGTCTCAGAGGCCCGGCGCAGGCTCAACCCGGGCCCAGTTGGGGGCTCCAGGGGCATGGGGGCCAGCAGCCCAGGCCTAGTGGACACCACGGGAGGCCCGGGCGAGGACTACGAGGTCCTCGGGAGCACTGCCAGTGAGATGGAGAAGAAGTCATCCAGACGGAAAAAGGAGAGTTCAGGTATGTGGCTGAGGAGCAGCTGAGCATTCCTTGGTTAGGTTGCTTGCCCTCTCTGAGCCTAGCTGCCCTAACCCTGAATTGCAAACATTATCTAATCTACTCAAAGGCAGAAGCTACCTTTGGGGTTTCTTCTATTCAGAGTTCTAGGATTCTCTGGTTGTATCTGTGCCTCCCAGAACTCCCGGACCCCAGACAGGTTATGCCAGCAAGTGAATGAAATAAGATCCACAGAGATTGAGAGGACATGTGTGATGGAGCCTCGGTGCAGGCCGGCAAGGACTAGAGAGGAGCTTTCCTGAATCTGGGCGGCCTCTGGGTCATGCTTCTCCCCACCCTGCCCTGGCAGGCTGCAAATGGTCCCAGAGCCAAAGGGTTTGCTCACAGGAGAGTGAGCTGAGATGGGAGCTTGGAGCACTAGGACCAAGGCTGGGACCCTCTGTCTCCAGGAGCCTAGAGGCTGAGAAGCAGGCCTAGGGCTGGGATGGGAGAGGCAAGGGGCAAGGAGGAGATGGAGTGTGGAGATTTGGGGCAGATTGCCCACGAGGTATCACTGTGCCCATGCCTGGGCCAAGAGGGCAGCTCAGCGTGCTAAAGTCTGGGCGACCCCCAGGGAAGGCATCCCCCGAGGGGTCCTCCTGAGGGATCACCAGCCTTGGCAAAGTCAGGGAGGCTGGCAGCCAAGGACTAGCGCTGCACCTCAGAAAGCAGGTGGAGCCCCGCTCCGTGTTGGAGCCCAAGAGGATGGAGCCGGCCTGCTCATTAAGATCCTAGTTATGGGGCAGCCGGGGTGGCTCAGCGGTTTAGCGCTGCCTTTAGCCTAGGGCCTGATCCTGGAGACCCCGAATCAAGTCCCATGTCAGGTTCCCCGCATGGAGCCTGCTTCTCTCTCTGCCTGTGTCTCTGACTCTCTTTCTCTCAATGTGTCTCTAATAAATAAATAAATAAATAAATAAATAAAATCTTAAAAAAAAAAAAAAGATCCTAGCTATGTCCATCTCCTCCCTGTGGTGGTGACTTCTCATTTCCTCATCTCCCCATGACTTCTCTCTACCTATTCACCTTCTCTCTGGTTCCTTGTCCCCTCCTTGCCCAGAACAAGGCAGCGTCCATTCCTGCTGTCCCCTTGGCCCACTGTGTCCTCCTGACAGCTACCTCCAGAGCAGCCTGTCTGTCTGTCTGTCTGCACCTAGAGAGGACTTTTCTCACAGGGCTAACCAGAGGTAGGCAGGAAATGAGAGTGCCAAGCAACCAATGAGAACACTCTGTGATTTGCTTTTCAACATAGCACAGATTTCCTGAGCATCTTCTTTTTGCCAAGCACTGGCCAAGCCCCCCCCCCCACCCGTGGAGGGGGGAGGGCGGTGAGGAGATGTATATGGAGGCCTCTCTCCCAGGGGGCTCAGGCTGAGGGGGAGGAGAGGCCTGCGGATGCCTGTGTGGCAGTGGATGTACTATGATCTGGGAGGTTCACAGTGCTGCAGGAAACACGGGTTAGCTTTTTTAGGTCCCACCGGTGTGCAAAGTAAATACCGCAGGTCTTACCAGTATCTCTGTCCTATATGCATGGAAAAGGAGAGGCAGAGAGTTTTGAGGAGGACACTGCTAGGATGGGGTCGAGGTAGTGCCCTGCTCATCGGGATTTGCCCAGGACTTTTCTGAGCTTAGCACTGAAAGCCCAGCGTCCCAGGAAACCCCTCAGCCCTGGAGCAAATCAGGACAGTTGGTTAATCTTGGAGCTCAAACCCTGGACGTCAGATCCCAAATCCCCCACCTTTCAGCAGATTTCAAGCATAATCCTCATTTTGAAATGTTTGGTCTCCATGCTTAAAGGTGCTTACAGTGGATGGCCACAGCCTTCTTGGCTGCCTGATAGGAGGGCCCTTTAAGTCCCCAGCTGGTGAAATCCTCAAGTATTCCTAGCCTTGGCTGGAGACATGGGGAGATGGGGCACTTTCTGCTTCTCCTCACTCTCAGTGACTTGGCTCTGCGCCTAATTGAAGAGCTCTCCCCACCGTGGCGCCTGCCCCCCTTGCTCCTCCACCTCTGCCCAAATCCCCTTCCGCAGCATCCAGCCACTTCCCAGGGAACTGGGAGCCAAGGCACTAGAAGGCACAGGCAAAGGGCTGGGCTTAGGCAAAATCATTCTGTTCCAGCAAGGCCCACATGTGCCATCTTTCCTTTGGGTCAGTGGCCTGTGGCGCTGCATTAGGGAGTGAGCCCCAGTGCCAAGCAGCTGGCCATCCCAAGAGCACAGGAACACCCTGCACTGAATGTCCTGCAACTCTTCATAGGGTCAGCCACTAGTGGGGGCGGGGGTGTGGGGGATTCTTATCCAAGAGCAGCCCTGGGCTCCACCCCCCTCCTGGGCCCCCTCAAGAAGCAGTAATGGCAGCAGACAGGCAGGGCAGGGCAAGCTGAGTTTCATTCATTCTCTGGGATTCCAGACCTACTCCCCATCTAGCATGGGAATCTCTGTGTCCCAGCTAGATGCTTGAGTCTTCCCTTGTAATTTAACTGGAGGGGGAGGAGGCAGGAAAGATGAGCTGGGTAAGAGCTGGAAGAAAGAGAAAAGTAGAAAAGGCCACAACCAACTCTAGGACTCTGGAGTCCAGCTCACAAGAAACAAACCCATGGGGAAAAAAAAAAAAAACAACCCACTCCATCAGTCGAGTCACGCTTAGATTCTCTATGTAACATTTTGCTATCTTGTTCATCACAGAATTTTTGGCATCAATTTTGATTTTTTAAAGCAATGCGTTAAAACGTTACTTCTCTTGGTGACTGAGGGTTTTGACACCACTTGCATTTTGCGCCCAGCGTGAGTGTGTCCCATTTCTCACCTGGGCCCTTGCTCAGCTGTCTCTGAATGTTAACCAGCCATCGATCAGAAAGGTGTTTTTCATAGTTCTTCACGGGCAGGCCAACAGGTTGGCATGTCGGCACCACGACTGTGGGCTGGGTAACATTAGAAAACTTCTTTAAAAAAAAAAAGAAAACTTCTCAATTTCCTGGAGCCTTCATTTTCCCAGTTGCAAAATGGGATCATAACAAAAGCACCTTCCATACAGAGTCACTGTGAAGATTAAATGCAGTGATCCATGAAATTAGCACTGTGCCTGGCATATGAGCTCAATAAATGGCAACTGTGAATGTTATTAGACCGATATTTCCAGAACCAACTAGGGGAAGGGGAGTGGTCGGTGGAACTGAATATTTCAAATCCATTGACTCAGGAATTCCTGAATCTGGAGTATAACTTCTTGCAGTTATCATTGGTCCTAAAAATCCAGTTATTTGTCATCAGGTAGAAACTTGGAGCCCAGAGATCTTCTGGAGAGGTTGGAGGGTGAGATGTGCCTGGCAAAAGGGTCCCATAGTGTTTGGCCGAGGAGGCTCCAGTAACAGAAAGTTACTAGAAGTTTGTTTCAGAGAGGAAAGTTCTCTCCTCCCCCCTCTCCTGCCAGCTCCAGCAGCATCCCTGTCATTCCCACTAGAAGTGGAGCTGATTTGCTCAAATAAATGAATAGGAAAGTGGGGGTCCCTGGCTCCCGCTCAGAGACCTTCTGTTGGTCCACAGCACAGAGCTGATTTAGGAGACCAGTGTGATGTTATCTTACCGCAAACATTCCCAGCCCCGGGGCCCATGGGTGTTAAAGACCCCTGCTGGCTGGGACAGCTGCGAGGCCACTGCTGTTTGCCCCCAACCTGTCGATCTGTCTTGCTACCGTGGTTGTCTTTAATTTATGGGAATAAGAGATTTCGCGGTGATTTCCTGGTGGGGTTCAAGGGAAGGTCACGCGTGATCTGCCTGGCTGTAGGTGAATCTGATCGCCCCCCTGAGAAAGCCCCCCGTGCTGGGGCTCAGCCCTGCTCGCTGGTGCTCTCACGTTTTCCCTTCCTCAGACTCGCTTTGTCCTGTCTCTTTCGCCTCCAACACACGTGCCCCCCAGGGCTGAGCCTTCACTGATTTCTCCCCTGCAAAACATGATCCCCACCTGCCCTTGTGCAACCACACGCACCCCCAGTTTCTCCTGAGGTTTATAAACCCTCCACAGATCAGCCCCTTTCTCCCACCTGTTCACCTGCAGGCCACCCTTCCCACCTCCACCCCTGTCCTGCCACACCAGTTCAGCTTGCCTTTTGCAAACACACACCCTTTTTCTCCACCCAACCAACCCCATTTGCCAAAGCACTTTCCCTTGCTTCAGGCTTCCTTCCCTCCCACCACTCTCCTGCCTATTGAAGTCCTTATTTTCACAAGCCACCCCCCCCAAGAATCTCTCCTCTCTTTTTTAAAATTAATGGCTCTACGTGTACGTAGCATCATGTCAGTGAAAGCTGTAGTGAGGAAGTTTCAAGTCTCAGTAGCCACTAGAACCTGCTGGTCTTCTAAATAAATATCTCCTAATGTCATAAAGGAGCTCTTCTGAGATTTCTTTTTTTTTTTTTCTTCTGAGATTTCTTATCCTGGGACATCTTATATTTGAAATCTCCTTTTTTAAAAATTATGACCAGGGGCATCTCGCTGGCTCAGTCGGTGGAGCATGCCACTCTTGATCTAGGGGTTGAGTTTGAGCCCCACATTGGGTGTAGTGATTACTTAAAAATAAAATCTTTGAGAAAAGTAAATAAATAAATAAAAATTATGATAAAAAAGACATAACAAAATTTACCATCATGATCGGGTTTTAAAAAATATTTTTAGGGATCCCTGGGTGGCGCAGCGGTTTGGCGCCTGCCTTTGGCCCAGGGCGCGATCCTGGAGACCCGGGATTGAATCCCACATCGGGCTCCCGGTGCATGGAGCCTGCTTCTCCCTCTGCCTGTGTCTCTGCCTCTCTCTCTCTCTCTCTCGTGACTATCATAAATAAATAAAAAATTTTTTTAAAAATATTTAAAAAATATTTTTAAAAAGTTTTATTTAGAGGTGCCTGGGTGGCTCAGACAGTTAAGCTTCTGCCTTCGGCTCAGGTCATGATCTCAGGGTCCTAGAACTGAGC